CATTCCTATTTAAATTGGCAACTACAAATGTTGTTTCGTGCCCACCTTTTTTTTAACGAGTATATTTAAAACTCAACCTTGACTCAAAAACTCGTTCTTTGCACACGTTTTTCCAATAAGTATATTGAATATTCATCTCCTGGTACATAATCTAATTAACCAATCAATATGTTTTACGTGTGGTGGTAGACTTGCCTTTACTGGCGTCCTGCCAACTTCTAATCTCGCTTATCGGCCAAACAGAGGCGGCCGCGCATTGCCCGGCTTTGTACAACCTGCGCTCACTTCAAACAATGCGCCGCTGAATATCAGAGTGCCAATGTGATGCTAATTAATTTATTTTGCTACTGTCGCTCGTGTGTGCAAATTAATGTTGTATTTTTTTACTTTCGTTACTGCTTTCTTAAAAATCCTACGCAGGGATGGATTTAGATCTGTTTAGATATAATTTATTCATTTTATTATTATTGTTGGATTAGAATTCATTGTTGAAATTTGCGTTTTTTCAGTGTTTTTATTTAGTGTTCATTATCGCTATTTTCATTTGCGATACGTGTTGTGTCCGGACGATAGTATTCACCGATCCATTTCTACCTTGTTGAAGAAATTGTGTCAATGGTACATCGTGTCAATACGGTTTCGACGTTTTCATTATTAATGACTTTTAAACAATATTCATGATAATACCTAGCATCGCGAAGGTTTATCATGAGTCATATTCTTTCTGTAATAATTTTTTATTCATATCATTTCTATTTCCTCTGTAAATCAGACAACGGAGCAATAATTATTCTTGTAGTTTATATCTTTGTTTTCCTTATGATTCTATTGAATACGGTAAAAAAATGTCACATTTAAGCTTAAATATTACTTAGTTCACCCGGCGGACGTGGAAGGCAGTGCGCGGCGAGATCACAAATCGCTGCATAGTGTATTTGTAATCCTTATTGTATTATGATGCTTTGAACGTAATTTCATTTACTAGTGTTAAGTTGTAACTATTTTATTATGATAATTTATGCGTTATTTCCTTCACAAGATTAGCATGGAAAGCAGCGTGGCAAGATCAGATATCCCTTTAGAGTTGTATTCAATAACCATTATATGGTAATAATTTGTTCTTAAACTCGCTGTCCAGATGAGCATGGAAGGAATCGTTGCCGTGCTGGACATCAAAGTGACGTACCCTGAAGACAGCGGTACGTTCACATGTCGCGCCACCAACGCTGCTGGTCAAGCAGAAACGTCGGCTGTCATCACCGTCCAAAGTAAGGACCAGTAGCCGCCTTAATTGTCTTTCTTGAGAGCCTTAAAGGAAGTCATTTGTGGGGCTAACCTATGCATTAAAAATTTAAATGGTGCGATGTGGCCTTGTATCATCGGGAAGTGGATGATGGCTTGCCAACAAAATGGGAATTGTTCGTATTTTTCAAAACTGTTTTCCACCAAAACAGCCAGACAAATTTTAAATTATTATTTGCTTCTCGGGCCAAAATAGAAAATTTTTATGATAGAAAAGTTAGGATTTGAGTTATTCTACCATTCAGGCTGTCTGGTTCATTGGGTTCTTGCTGATGTTATTTAGAGCGAGAGGTTTTATCACACTGCGACTCTCTCGCGGGCGTCTTGCAACGATGCAATCAAAAAAGGATTTTACCGGGGCTATATTTCTATTGTTCTTAATTTTGGTAGTTAACCCACCTACTGTGCAATAATATTGCTAAATAAAAATTGCATTTTGCTCGATATTGGATAATTTTCAATCTTCTTGTCGGGATCTTTTCGCTGTGCCAAATGTATTCTCTTCGATTTGGGTTTAATAATCGGTTGTAGAATGGTTGAGGTTATAACCACGCGTCTCACTTCAATTATACAGAAATTCTCCCCTGCATGTAATGGAAGTGATTACTGGCAGATCACAATTCTGTTTTATCCATGGGAGAATTTCGTATGTCATTTTTTCTGTGTTGTACCAATTGTAATTCTATATTCAATCTGGGGCGAAAAAAGAATTGGCCATTGTGTCGATTTAGTTGAGTATTGCGTGGTTCTGGCGAAACAGGTGCACGTTATTCAGCTACAACATCTTAGTTTTTATTTTACTTTCTTGAGTATTGGTGTATTATGCATCTCTCGTTTTCGAATTTTACCTACTTTCTGTGGGTTTCTTATATGCTTTAGTTATGTAGCTGCCTATGGAGTGTAGAAGAATACCTAAATACCGGCTATCATTTTAACTACAGCAACAAAAAGTTTCCTAGAAATTTCAGCACGTTTCTTCGAATGATAAAATAGTGTCAAGGCTTGTAAGCCGTTTTTAGCCGACATTATGCTTCAACCTTCAAGCTGTTCTGATAAACGTGCTGTTTGCATCGCCTTCAGATGCCGTTCTTCTAAAGCACCTCATGGGCACGGATGCATAACTTGTTAATTACTTAAGAATTATTGTTTATATTTAAGATGAGTGATGCTTGAAGCTCAAATCCCCTTGCGGTAGTAGCCTCTTTGATTAGTTTATATTTTTATGGGTCTGTATTTTTGTGACTGTGTATGTGTGGATCATCGCCTCGTGTAGAGAAAGTTCGTTCGTTATCATCCATCGGTCCGTTTGTTGGTGCTTACGTACCAAAAATTATAAATGTATAACTATGCTTACGGCCTAAATAAATCATACCCAAGCATTTATCTATCTAGTATCAATCACAACTTCAGTGGAAACGTCAGCGTCTAACTATATGTTACTGGTTCATCTGATCTGCATTCACGACTTGAGTGGAAACGATTGAATGCGTTTCTACAAGTCGAGTGTCGATTTATAATTATTCAGCTCGTGATTTCCTTCCAATAAAATTTATTCCCAGTGATCTCATAGAACAGTTAGAATATCATAATTAACAACAGGTCGACTGATTAATTCGTAAATGATCGTTTCGGTTTCTTTCGAAATAGACCGCCACCAATACGTGTTTGCTTCTTAGCTTGAAGAACAATTCAGAGCTCATACACCTCGAATACGACAGGCAATCAGCGGATGACACTGCCTCGCGCTAGTGACTAAGATATTTTTACTGCCTCTGACCCGCAGGGAAATGACGCAGGGAAAGCTAGTATGAGTAGGAGGTTCGCATGAGGGAGCGTGAGTCTAGTAGACAGGCTCACGAACGCCAGATGGTGTGAGTTATATTAAGGGCCCCACAGACGCTTGCTCACCTCCCGCTCACCCAAACAAACCAACATGAGGAAGAACCTAAGGCCATGCTTAATCTGGGGAGAACCTAAGGCCAGGCTTTCTTCCTGATTCATACCCACCGAACATCAAAAATAAACCAATGAGCAGTAAGCGCGTCGAGTATTACTGATAGTCAATACGTGATAGTCAATAGTGACATTTCATTAAAAGTTTCATAGAAAATTTGTGTTAATTTTCATAGCGAGACTCCAACCTGTCTAACAAAACATTGAACTTGTCGTGAAGTTCGCGCTGCTTCATACAGTACGTTCAGTGCTCTGTTGCAATTCAAAAAGCGCAATAAAGAAATGCCATGAACTGTTATACAAATCAACACTGAAGGTTTAAAGCCTTGTTCAACACTTGGCTGCTCATCAAACAAAAGCTTGGGCGCTTAACCGTTCTTACTCTCCCTGTCTTCGCTAAAAAATTAATGTTATTGTCACACTGGCACGCTGTGTGTTTTTTGATCCAAAGAGACCGTAAATTTCTAGAAAAAGTGTGTGATTAAGAACGGAAATTGCTTCAAGCTGTGATGGCAGAGCACAATTCACTGCCTGCATCCTAGAACGTGCGTAGCTCCTCGATGACGTGTAGGCATTTCGTGGCAGAATTTATCTTTTTTCAGTAACTTTTCAACCTTTTAACGACCTCCATAAATCTGACTTTCGTTATTATTGCATACCGTTTAGAACACAGCCTCGACAAGATTTGGCGCGATTAAAGCTAGAAAATGAGTTGCCGAGCGAGTCGGCAACACTGAACCGAAGTCGAACTAAGAAAGAACAGTAAAAAGTCTTGGCAGCTCCGCAATGCCGAGCTTACTCTGCGCCTGACCGACAGCGGCAGCTCTCAACAACTGTGATAACCTCAAAGGCCTGTGCCAATAGCAGATAAAAAGGAACTGTTTCAATTAAAATACTCCGTGAGACGAACTAATTCCTTTGGCATCGCGCGATGTAAAAGTTTGTTTCTTCTGCCTGGCAAGTTCTCACTTGGAGTCCAAGTTCTGTCACTCTTTGCCGTAATTTTGATGAAATGGCCTTTAGTGTAGGTAGTGAATGAAACAAACTATTAACAACTGTCCAGACGTTTGGCGTTGCGTAGTCTCATTGGTTTCCTAAATTCATGTCGACGATCGCTATTCTACAAATCCTTTCTTAACCCTGAGGATGAAAAACAATAGAAGTTACATAAATTTTTATTCTGTATACTCAAACAAAGATTGAAAAATTAAAGCAAAATCTCAAACATACAGTGACAAAATTCCGGAGGTCATTAATTTAATATCAGATACTCATGAACCTCATCGTCAATACATAGAAAATTGATAGGCGACAGAAATTATTATCTTCTTTGGTTAAACTCATCAAAAATCTACTTGAATTGATTACATTAATCAATAAATTTAGCATTTGAAGCACCAACGCAAAGTTTGGTGGTGAGGAGGAATGTGGAGCTGCAGCGTAGCAGCCAGGCGTGAGGGTGGGGGCCAGGCTTCCTAAAATAGACCCCGACTGGGGGGCTGCAAGAAACATCTTCTTCTCCTCTCTATTCCTCCCGTCATTATTTTCTTGGATTTTATTCTTTTATATCTGTCGATAAATCTGTCTTCTTCAACCACTAGTTATCCCGCTATTCTGCACAATTCAAGCACTTCGTTCGTGTTCTTCCAATTTTTAAGATTAGAAGTCTTAAAACGAATTGAATTTTCTTCCAAGACGTTCTCCACAGAGTTAAAGCCAATTTTTTCACAATCTCTAAATTTTCGATGAATGTTATAGAACTCGAACTAATTTCTCAATTTCTTCGCTATCCAAAGCTGCAAACTTCTCGTCGAAAAACATTGTGCTCAGTCACATTTCTCCGTAATTCTCCGACACACTGCACTGTTCGGCACGTTTCGTTGTTAATTTTCACACCATTCTGTTTCTCTTCTTCACTGACTTCCTACTTTTTCCTCTTGATCGACCTGGTTTTCACACCCTCTTCTTAAAATGAATTATTTCTCTGCTCCTTCCTTCTCCGATTTCTTCTACTTTCCTCATCGATTCCTTCCCTTATTCTTCCTTCCAATGCCTCTGTTGGTTGCGATATCAGCCGCCTCGGTTCGTTAGCGACACCCAAATTCGGATGAGAGAACTGCTCTTGTGGGTGGCTGGCGCGCCTTCACACCTGCCAGGCGAAAAAAGCTCATTAATACTCGAGTAAACACTCTTTTTGTACCAAGGCAGTCGTTAAAGCAAGGTTACGTGCAAGTAAATTTGGACCTTAGTTGAACACATACCAATGAGAATCATCGTTAGAGAATATATGAGGAAGTGTTTGGCTTTATTACTAGGAATGCTGGAAGGGTCTTTATAAGTGATAAGAAACGACGGCTGTCAAAATATGCTAATATGATCTTTAATAAAACATTAAATAGTTAGAACTTTAACAGTTTTTATAAATTTCTTCATTATAAAAATTTCTTCTTCAGAATTCGATTATCCCTACGAGAATTCTGATTATTCCGACACGGACCAAGGTTAACTAAATTCCTTCAACGAGAGACCTTTATACAAAAATATGCGTGTAAATATTTATAAAAAAAAATGAAATAAGTCTCGGATATTATGCCCTCAAAAGGCGAGCATCACACCGCTGCCAGATGACGAGGCGAGATATGATGACTAACCCACCACAGCTCAGGGTGAGCAAACTTTTTTGCTCGGACTTGGCGGGCTTTGTTTCAGTGAGTCATAGTGGCAGTAAGCAGCCGTGAATCACATGCCATCGGCACCTACTATGGCGAATTATCCATGCTTTAATCACCAAAAAATATATTAGATCTTCGCCGTCCTAGTGGAAAAATTAGTATACATTTTGCCGTGCAAGTGGAAAAATTAGTACACATGCACAAATACGGTCCTTTGTTAATGAGAAATGAATCAATGGGGAAGAAGATAAGTGGAAAGTAACAATAAATTAGGCATTCCTATGATTATCACTTGAATGCCACAATGTTAAGAGGCTTTCGTAATAAAGAATTTTTATAGGTTGGTTTGATGAAAATACAATTAAAAATACAGCACAATTAATAAAAGGTTCATGGCATGTGGAATTTAAATTTGATTCTCAATTACGTAATTAATTCATTTATCCGTGATGGCTTCGTTGATGGTTACTCTCACTCGCAAGTTTAGGAAGGAAACCCCTGTTAATGCTCGGGCAAATAATATTTTATCGATCCGCTCTAGATTACACTTGAATAGTTATACCTTTCATACTTCCTCAACATATAGTCGACTTCAATGCTCAGGATATGGAACAAAATTGCTATTTTCACGCTGAAACAAGTCTCAACTCAGAATGTTGACGTGGCGCATAAAGGTGCATCAATTCGCAGCGTTTACTCACAAGCCAGGCTCCACTGGGCAAACAGTCCCTGTTACTCACAAGCGTAACTCAACTGGGCAAACAGTCCTGTTACTCACAAGCCACAGACTCAACTGGACAAACAATCCCTGTTACTCACAAGCCAGACTCAGCTGGGCAAACAATCCCTGTTACTCACAAGCCCAAATCATCTGAGCAAGCAGCCCTGTTACTCACAAGCCAGACTCAGCTGGGCAAGCAGTCCTGTCACTAACTAGCCTGATTCGACTGGGCAAACAGTCCTGTTACTCACAAGCCACAGACTCAACTGTGCAAACAGTCCCTGTTACTCACAAGCCACAGACTCAACTGTGCAAACAGTCCCTGTTACTCACAAGCCTGATTCGACTGGGCAAACAGTCCTGTTACTCACAAGCCACAGACTCAACTGTGCAAACAGTCCCTGTTACTCACAAGCCGTTCTGGGCGAACAGTTCATGAACTGGCGAACAGTTCATGTTACTCACAAGTCTAACTCGACTGGGTAAACAGTTCCTGTTACTCACAAGCCTAACTCAACAGGGAAAACAGTCCTGTTACTCACAAGCTAGACTCAACTGGGCAAACAGTCCCTGTTACTCACAAGCCTGATTCGACTGGGCAAACAGTCCTGTTACTCACAAGCCCAAATCATCTGAGCAAACAGTCCCTGCTACTCATAAGTCCGACAAAACTGGGCAAACAGTCCGTGCTACTTACACGCCTGAGTCAACTGGGTAAACAGTTCTCGTTACTCACACACCGGTTTAAAGTATAGTAGCACTTCTGATCTTCGTCTGGCAAACAGTTCTCGTTACTCACACTTGACTCGACCGGGCAAACAGTTCTCGTTACTCACACTTGACTCAACCGGGCAAACAGTTCTCGTTACTTACACTTGACTCAACCGGGCAAACAGTTCTCGTCACTCACACTTGACTCAGCCGGGCAAACAGTTCTCGTTACTCACACACTTGACTCATTTGGGCAAACAGTTCTCGTTCCTCACACACTTGACTCAATTGGACAAAGATCTGTCGTTACTCACTAGTCTGACAAGATCGACTCACTTATGCAGCCAGTTTCTAATAGTTAAATTCCCGCACTCGGCTTCCATTGTTTAAATGTTATCAACTGAAGCGAAATTAACGAATTGATTGTTAGTAACGAATGAATGGATAACCATGAGCTATATTCAATGAAAAAAATACAATTAAAAGTTATAAAAAAGCTGACGTTCTTGAAGTTGTGAGCGATGTATTTCAAGCGAGAGCTTCTATTGCATCTAAATTCATTTTATTTTGTTATGCTAGACAATTGTAAAAGCTGATGAATGAGTGTTTATAGATTTTTCTTTTCGTATCTTCAAGAATGAAATCTAGCGATTGAATGAAGCGATTTTATAAATTCCTGTGCTTAACCCCTTTTATAGTAAGAGGCAGCTAATTTCTTTTATAATTAACACACAACCTGCAGGTCAAAAGTTGTTATCAGACAACACGTTTGAAATTACAGTCGCTGACATTCTTTGACATTAGTTCGTGAGGATGTCATCATGTGCATTACTTAATATTCATTTCTCATGATGATTACTTTGTGTACTTCTTTAACGGCCAAAAGATACTTCTATATCTTCATAAAACTGGGAATTGATCAGCAAAAAAAAAAAAACATAAAAGTTCACCAGATCTTTACAGGAAACATTCCGAAGTCCAGCTCCATCGTCAGTTCGAAAACGTTAGTTTCTAAACAAAGACCCAGTTTGAATGCAGCTTTTAGCTCGTTTTCAGTTGTGAAGTTTTGCCTGTTTTTCTTTTTTATTATTATTCTTTTTCTCTTATTTGACAATTTAGGTTTTAAAATCTATTTTTTAATTCGAATAAATTAACAGATTTATCTGTATTCTAGATTCTTCGAACTGACGATAGAGCTGGAGTCTGAAATGCTTTCTTTAAAGATATAGGGGATTTTCTGGCTTTTTATTCTCTTTTAAATTTCAGGTTAATTTCATAAAAAAATTTTGGGTGTACTTTTTTATTTACAATTGATCTTTTATTCTTCACTGATTTCGTTTTAATATAGTAAGAAGTTTTAAGAATTTTTCAGGTGTGATTTTGGAAACAAATTTTATATCGCAGTAGGTTCATCGAGGTCAATGATGAATTTCTTCTGTCACAGAGCAAGAGAATGCATGTTGAGTATTAGACAGACTTGGTGTACGAGAGAAACTCATTTTACTTCAGGATATTACCGTTTTCGAACTTGAATCTAGAACTATACAAATAGTTTTGGCTAAATTTAGGAAAAAAATTAATTCCTGTTATCAATAAAAGCAGAGGTTGCATGTCTTAAACGTTCAGGGGTAAGAAGAACTCACCTACAGACTAGCAGACAACGACGCGTATTCAGGAACACAGCTTGACTGTGTCTGGTATCTCTGACGGTCAGGTCTCTGTTGGTTGTTCATTTGTCAGCCACGCCACTCTTGTCTGTAACTCCAATGGCCGAGTCCAATCCTCTTCATTTATGAAGTTCTTGACGGCATTGTTGTCTGGAAATCAAACAGCCATGCTATTGGTGGCTTTAGCTCCGACGGGTGTCTATTATATTCCTCTTAAGATGTTAATTGAAGGCTTGTTTCTGTTCCTGTCAGGTCGATAGCGAACATCTTGACCAATGTTTTTTTCAGTGCACTACGAACGGAAAATTGCGCACGAGTAACACAGACGATGTTGGCGTGGCAAAACTACGATAATACAACATCGGGTATGAACACTACGGCGTTCACTCGATTTTATGGTCACCGACACAAAGTCATTTCTTATCCAGTTAACGGGAAAATAAAACCGTGAGCGTACCTCATAACACAAATGAATTCACTGTAGCGTCGCTTGTGTCACTGCGGAAACTAATAGCGCTGGCAACCGCTCACTGGTAGCGCTGAGCTCACACTGGCACTCGGAGCTCCTGGCGCGCTCTTTTGAAGGCAGCGCGCCGCACTGGCCCCCTCTAGTTTCCCCTCTTACCTGCACCTCGTGGCCTCTCAGCTCCCCTTACCCTCTGAGCGACCTCCCCGTCCCTCGTGCTACCTCTCTTAGTTCTCTCACAAACTCTGCATCCATGTCTGCCCTTCGTGCTCATTCTCTCGAGCCCCATGTTCCTCGCCAGTTCTCATTACAAAATGCCGCACTCATTACGACTTCCCCTCCTTCTCCTCGTAATGTTGTTGTGATGTTTCCTCGTTATTTGCACATTTTTCTCCTCGATTATTTATGTATCATTGTCGTAAATGTTAGAATTAATCCCGCCTAATCTACAAAAGAAGTCGAGATCGCTCTATAAGCTGCAGTGAAATTCTTTGTAGCTTCTGTATATGTTTTAACCAAGCACGATCTTTCACCTTGGACCTCTTACATTTTTCGTATCATGATATAATAGTTTCCTGCTGTTTCTACAGAAAACTATTTATTTCCTTCTGCAAAGCATGAAATAATTTCTGCTGTTTTAGCTGCTGCTATTCTTGCAGTATAAACAGGAAAAGATAGTTAAATTTCAGCAATTTTACTATCGCGCACTTCTCTTTGGCTTTATTTATTTGTTCTCACATGATTTCATTTTCATCTGTCATGCTCCTATTTTTTCCGTCTATCTCTGCCTTAAGGTGACCGCTTCTTACAGGCACTGAAGTTAAGAAAGGTGAATCAGAATGCGATTTTCTGAAAGCACCTGCACCAAAATTTCATCATGAAGATCTCGAGTTTTTTCCTTGGCGTCGCGGACCCTCTCCTTCCCCATCAGTTTCTGAAGTTTCCGAATGCCTACGAGACAGAGTCTTACCAGCCACGCATGCGACTGCCGATGTTAAGAAAAATGCCGATGCCGCTTCAGTATTTCAACAGAATCAATTACCATCAGCATCGCATAAACTCTTTGATCTCGCGAAAACTAATGAGCGAAGATTACCGCGCATCACCGAAGCAAAATACCGCGTGCCTCAAGTTGATCTCAAGAAGTCCAAGCAAAAGGCTTACACTCGCGACCACAATCAGCCCGAGACTGTAAGACTTAAATCTTTTGACCGACGCTCTAAGGAGTTGTATCAACCGGCTACAAATGAGCAAGGAAATTTACTTAAGTCTTCTGATGACCGAACAAGTCACCCACATCAGCCATCAGTATCGCCCGGAAAGGAAACTGAATCGGAAAAATCAAAAGATGCCAGCGTCCTAGTTACGGTTCTACAGGATTCTTCTTGTAAATCTGAATTGCCGCCAAGTTTGGCTCTCAAGGATTCGACTGAACGGTCGAAACGACCTTTGAAGCGAATAGACAGCAGGCCGAAAAACATTGAATTTATTCCGCCTTCTTTTGAATTTCCTTTGGAGTCCATCGAGACTACAGCTGACCAGCCGGTGGTGTTCAGTTGCCGAGTATTTGGTCTTCCTGCGCCTGACGTCAAATGGTATAAAAACTCAGAAATTATTCAGGCTACCAACAACATCATCATCGAAAGCAAGAAGAACTTCGCTGCGTTAATCATGCACAAAACTTCGTTGCAAGACGTCGGAGTTTATTGTCTTGAAGCCGTGAATACTGTCGGGAAATGCACGACTTTCGCCTTCCTCTCCGTCGGAGGTAACGACTGCATTGCGCGATGGTTTATTATTAACATCTGGCCCTGAAGCTTGTTAAAAATTAACCCACTGCTGCACAAACGAGCAAATTTATCATCGTAGTGATTTACTCATTAGCTGTAAATTTGTAAAATTAACATTTGGTCTGTATTAGATCTTAATTATATGTTTTGTGTATGAGAATTTATTTAATTTAATTTTTTATCACATCGAATTGTTGATGTAGTAAATTTATATGACGTTTATTTTGATAATTTCTTTCTAATTTCGTGTGCACCGTATGCAATGTGTGAGCAAATGTGGGCATGCCCTTGGTCCAGCTTCGCCGTGTCTATTTTCAACAAGAAAATGTTACTTTAAATTTCGGCAAGGAATTGAGACTGAAGCAGGTTAAAATATTATGGATATATTTTTGAGAATGATTGATCATTGAAATAGTATTCAGTCCTATTTATCATTTAGTATTTTAAATTGCAATAAATGAAATATACATGAAAAAGCTTCGATAAGTTATACTATTTGTTAGAACGCTACCTGTGCGCGTCTCACACATATTATTATTTGGCTTGGGGTAACTCGTGTGAATAAATAATATTCATATGTGATGGGTCGTTTTCAAAATCCCCGACCGCTTATTAACATACTAATTGAATCGTGTGATTTATGGCAACACGCAGTGTTTCATTTCTGCTTAAAATGGTATTTTTAACTCATTTTACTGATATTTTTATAATTTAACTTACGAAAATATTTGCTTATGTTAATTAAAGAGGAACACATGATGTATAAATTAAAGGCTGTTTCAATTATTTGATATGAAGGTCACATGTGAATGCATGTTGACTTATCTTGAATTTGTTGTTCGTGTTCGGAGTTTCGGACAAGAGACTTCAATTCATGCAGCTTTAGTATCCATATACTTTTTTAAACATGATTTTCAAGTAACATTTAATCAGTGATCTACGAAATTTTGAATCGCGAATTTATCTTGTAAATTTCATCCAAGTTTCGAGTAACTTTAATGTTTGGTGTAATTACCGTAGAGTTTCCAACGTTCGTATTTCGCCGTATGTTTGAAATTCGGGTCATTTATTAAAATTATCTCGCATTTTTTGTTGGCAACACAAACTGAAATTCTTCACAAATAAATGACCTATAAAAACAACAAAAAGAAATTTATTTAAAAAATTAATTACTGACCACTACTTGTAGGTTAAGATTGATATCATAGATCGCTTAACTAAATACAATAAAAAATGTAGGTATCTGCAGATGCTCCATGTTCAACGTGGTATTTCCGAAGTGACTGATGATCAAGAGAATTAATTTTTCTAGATTCGTATTCGTGACTGTTTTTAGATGGACATTTTCTAATGTTAGAATATATTTTTTTATTCAAACAGAGCTCAGTAGAACTTGGATCTGTTGAAAAAAATTGCGGCAAGCAACTGATAATCGAGGCTTGTCTTGCCAGCTTTAAGACTTACGTAACCGCCTTTCTCTTTCGACAATATTTACGTCTTTAGGTCGTTAAGCACCGATTATAACCAGAAACATTTGAGCCTAAGGCATGCGAAATGCTAACTTTTCCAGTTATTTGAGGTAAATAGCGCATTTTGATTAAGATGACAAAATATTTACTGCAAGATGTCTTGATTTGATTGATATAAACAATTTATGTATTCTGAAACGTAGTAACATAATGGCAAAACTAGAATTTAAAAACACTTTAAATCACTACAAATGAAAAAAATGGTCATTCGGGCTTAAAATCGATTGTTTAGTGTTTAGTTTAATGACAGTAAAATTAATTATGAGAATCCGGTTTTTGGCGTGTTGCCTGCGAGGTCCGAGTGCCAAAGCTCAGTGCTAAGGTGGACAGCTCAGGGGATGGTGCTGTGCTCTTCTGCGCTAAATAAAAGCTTACGATGTTCTCCTGGCTATGTAAGTGAACGTAATCGCTGCGTTTTTATATGTTCGTAGATTATTCGCGGTTCCTCTTACCCCGCAAATGTATCATATTACATAGACATCAACGTAACAATGACCAGCATTCACCCGTGCCACGCGGCCGCCGTATTTATTCAACCATGTCCTTTAAAGCTATTCACTTGCAAGAAGTGTTCCAAATAAATGAGGCTGATGAAGAATTGTCCTGACGACGAAAAATTTGACGCTTATCTAACAATTTAACGAGTGAAACTATTATTTACCAGTCGATATCCGTTCGGAAATATTAAGCAATTCCGTTATGATGTTTAAAGTAGAATAAGATAACAAAGTATTACATTTTCTATTGCTTGGTTGTTTTCTTTATGCGGAAATGATATCTTGCGCCGAAGATGACAATATAGTACGGAAATGCACCCCATAGAGTCTGCCCTTTCATTTTACGATTTTGTGTATGAATATATTTTAAATGGCGAATCAAAATATTAAATGTTAAAGACATGCAAATTAGACCATAACTGGTATGAAATCATTTATCATAACTGGTATAAAATCATTTAACATAACATGATTTCATAACTGGTATGAAATCATTTATAACTGGGACCACCGGATCAGCGAAATCAGAGGGAAACAATGTCTCATTTTTTGTGGTTATTTCGTTAATTTTGAGGTACAATGATTCACGAATATTCTTTGTTCCAATAATAATCTGAATTAAAAAAAAATCAGCAAAAATTAAAAAAAAATTACTGACACAGAGGATCTTATTTTGGTGTGGTTCTGACAACTGGTGCAGCGATCTGAATATCTCTAACTATTCATGGAGATAGACTATTTATAAAGTTCGTCGAGGTTGGTTTCGTTCGTCACTGGGTCTGTATTGCATCGTCGAAATAAAATTTTAAAAATGTAGAGCTGCGAAGTATTCCTAGATCTTGCATCATTCTAAGAGCAACTCAATAACCGACTCGGGAATCCTGCTAAGATCGAATGACCGTTTGGCGCAGTTAAACACCATTTATTTCCTGCCACTCACTGTCACTATCAATGTCAATTAGTATTGAGATTGTCCGGAAATATTTTTCGCAAAAAGATTTGTTATTTCTCTAGAAGCTTAACTAATCTTGTCTTTGAAAGAATCCTCATAGTTTGATCTTCAGAAATTTTAACGACGCTTGATACCAAACGTTATTTCTCTGGAACGGCTCTAACCGAAATGCAATCAACCTAAAGCTACCGCGGAAATTGCCTGGTTATAAGATTGACCTCCACCAGGCAAACGACATTGAAACAATGATTGATTAACATTGCTTTGATCAAAAGACGTTCAATTCAATGGTAATTCCACGTCAT